AACTGGCTCCAAGGGAAGTAGAATGAGAATTTTCGTCGAGACTGAGCCTTCTAAAACTCATCTATTCACGACTGATATATCCTGTTATTCATTTAACCATAGTCCTGACTCCCCACTCTATTCTCATTAATTGTTTTTGACACGTTAATATCTCCTTTATCTTCGTTTATATTATTCAAGTGGATGATTATACTTCATACTTCTCTTATGATAGATGTACCACTTAAGTAAATAACATCGTCGGAAAGGACATTTTGTTTCTCTGAACTGACATTATCAGAAACTGATGAAGATTGATAGTCAGTATATATGATTTGACTGATTGCTGTTTATTTCCATCTGAAAGTCAATCTGGTAGATTGTGAATTCCTGAAAACATCAAAAACTAACAATGTACCTTTTAAATTTCATAACAAAGTAACTAAATATTGGTTTTTAATGTACACATGTACTCTTGGTTCCCGCTAAACTCTTATGCCTACTTATAGTTAATTTCATTGATTGGGTTTTGTGGATTTTTCATTTTCACGTTGATTTAACATTTGGATTCATTTATTGGGTAAATATTAACTGGTGAAAAAACATTACAAAAAAAATTAAGAAACATTTGAATATTGTTCATAACCATTTGATTGTTGTTGAAGAACTAAGTGTGATCTTGCTCATAATCAAAATCTTCTTTTAGGCTGAACAACTTCCATTATAAACCATACAACAACACAAAGTTGGCTAGGTAGAGATTTCGTATGTGTTGTAAGTCACTTTGTAGTGAAGGAGAACACAGGTGAGGGCAACCGAATTGTATTTAACGAAAATTACAGAGTTACTCAGTATTATAGGAAAACCATATCGTAATCATTAATTTGCACATCTTCAATCCATGATCAATCCATTGTCTGACATTTCACTATTCATGCGTTTCATACAAATTCCATTGTCTTCTAACTCTTCCTTTCTTGATCTTCTCCCATCTTCTGCTGCCAGACGTTACGTTCACACTCGCGTCATATACTACTTATAAGTAGCGCGCACCACAACTTTAATCGCTAACTGTCATCAACTAAAGAAATTCAGTTAACAAGGCTCGTCTACACCAATCCATAACCTTGATCAAATATTCTATCATGGTTTGAAAAATTGTATTCTTCATTAATACCTAAAAGTCAACTTCAGTTTATAAGTGAGATATTTATTGAATATGTACTATGTACAAACCCAAAGTAAGGCATCATTTAATTCAATAACTTTATCGAATAAAATCTAGTGTACTAGTATTAATAAAAACTATTTTATTCAGAAAAGTGCGGAAGTATTTATGTTAATAATCACTCGATAGTCATTCAGTGTAGCTTTATATTCGGAGTTACATACTTCATCATTTGAAATGATGAAATTGGATGAGACTGGGAAAATGGAAGTCAGTATCGGTCTTCAAAACTACTTTATCCGATATTACAGAATTCATACTTGAGTAACTTCGTTATCCATCCCTTATTTTTTACACAAGTAAATTTATCATTTTTATGAGATCAAGGTTACCAAAAATTTTTAAGGGAAGTAGATTTTGTTTCAAACAAATAATATGTAATGAAAGTTTGATGTTACTCATAAGAGACATTGTTTTGTGAAGATAGCTTGACTGGTAACAGGATTTCATAAATTTTCAGCGAATATCAAAAGGTAGTTAATTAAAATAAACAGCTACTTTGAAATTTGGTTCAAGACTATGCTGCGCATAATTAAGTTAATAATAATGGCAGCAATCATTTATCAATCAACCAGAAAACCAAAAGATTGAAATGTAGCCTGTAAAATGTATTAGTCAATCATAGAGAAATGGATTTATCAAAAAGATTACTAGTAGTTATATCTGTCGAGCAAAATATTCGCAGTGCATAAAGTGATTCTTGATTAGTTAGATGATGTTTAGAGGTAACTGACAGGGAACTTCAGATCTGGGTTTCGTGCTATTGGACACTTATCAGAAAGGTGTGATTGTAATTTTGAAGAACATGTCAGTCATACAAGGTCAGTTGTGACTGTACTGGCTTACTTGTAAAGTCTGTGACTTTGGTGCTGAGTGACACGGAGTCGAAACCAACAGTGAACATCAGTTCCCTCAAAATTATCCATACACCTTGCTGACAACTGACAAAAAGCACAAAATCTAGGTTCTAAATTTCCTATCGACCACCTCCAGGCACCAAGTTTTATTTCAGCATAAAGTATGGTGTGTCGAATCACTTGCACTGGTGTTCATATTGCACCTTGATCGATAAAATTCGTTCAGCATTGCAACGGACTTGACATATATGACATAGGTCACTACTTAGTAAATAAACATGAAATAGTTTAGAAGAGGGAACCTTAACGAACTGAAACAAGGTAGGAAAAAGAGTGGCACATCTTACTGACAACTGTCATATTATCATCAGATTAGAAAGGATTATCATCCTACTCAATATACTTCATTTAGATTTCCTTCTAAGTTGAGTTGATTTTATTACATCAAAAAGTTGTTTATACGGACCGTCCTTATAACATACAACCTCAAAAATAATATGCCACGAGGATAATATAATTTAAAATTACAAACTATGTGATTAGCCTAAATAGTCGTGATGAAAAGAACAATATTATTCGGTGCCTAGGCAACATGTTTGAGTTTCTGCAACTGGTTAAAAGTGATTCTGTAATTTATGGATTCGTAAATATTTCAAAATATTGACTGAGAATAACGAAAACAAATTCAATCAAATGAAGGCAACAAATTAAGAAAATCCAAATGAGCATTGATAGCTTATGAGATCATGGAAACACGGACAATAAGATGAACTAATCATTAATAAGCCAATCGGTATAAAGCTCAAGAACAATGTCGTTAAATTTTATTTATTATTTAGATGATTGTTATTGAGAAATCGTTTTATGAAAATAAGATTTCATTGTACCGGAGAAGCACGAAAAAATGATTCAGACAATTAATTAGGAAACTTATTATCTCAATTATCAGTAAAAACCACTGTGCTTTAGAACTGATCTATTCATAGCACTGTGATATTTCAAAAATTACACTAATTCATCTGGTCACAATCATCAAAGTTTCAGAAGCATTCAAATCAATGACATTCAGATTCACACTGTGTTGAGAAAACCAGATGATCATGTTAATGTTTCGAGTCTCTCTGAATCGTAAACTAATGACAGTCGTGAAGTTGAGACAGATTTGACTACAATGGTAAATACCATACTGAAACACTGATTAACATTTTTACTGTATAGATTTCAAAAGCCATCCTAAAATAAACAGTGAACAATTCAAATTTGATTCAAGAATGTATACAGTTATCATTATTATTATAATAATTACTAGTACCAATATTACGACTACTACTACTACTACTACTACTACAAATAAAAAGAATAATAATAATAATAACGATAATATTACTAAGACTTACTATTACCACTACTATTAATGATACACACGAACTAGAATCTCTTCCTAAATCAATTAGCCTATCGAAATTTAGTACTAGTTAATAAAACTCGAATAATATACCCATTTAGAATGGTCATTTTGACATCAACACGACAATTCGGTCTAAGATAGTGATTATCGAGAGGTCAAAAATTAAAAAGGATAGAAACGAGTTGTTCAATTGATGGAGAATAATAATTAGAGGATGGTAGAATTAATTGGTCTTAATTATGATGATTGTAATGATGATGATGATGATGATGATGACTAGACATAATTAATCATATCCTATTGAAATAGTGACTATTTAAATTGTATTCAACGCCTGGAAAAGAGGGACCTTAAATCAAAACCTTTAATTATACTATAGCGAAACAAACAACTAGTTTTTTTTCATTTCGGTACAGTTATTCATATTCGATGTACACAAAAGCGTGAATTCACAAACATCACCAACTAGATGAATGTTCACGAAATTTTATATGGGATCTGGAAACTTAACAACTATGTTGAATTCAACCTTGTCATCATTGGATTGACAGTCAGTAAGAAGAGGACCAGTAAGAGTCAGGAAGAACTAGACATCCTAGTTACGTGACTGGTCAGTAGTGTAGACCCACAACCACTCCCATAGCTACTGGTGATTCGTTTCGAGAATAATTTCAAAGTTCTAGTGCAAAACTGAAATCACTGAGGTTTAATCACAGAGCGAGGAAAACAGAAATAATCTCTTACACTGAATGATCCTCATGCTCTTACATGAATCAACTAGAAGTAAAAATGTGCTCAATCGAACTTCACCTGAACATTTATCAGAGTAAAAGTCAGTATACTGGTCATTATTGTTTCACTCAGTTTGACACGGACTAGTGAGCAGACTGAGTTTATGAAGACCTGTCGATCTACCGAGTTGAAAATGATCTACTGATGTTCTGCAATCATAAAAAGTACGCACTGACAAACGGTATTGAATTAAAGAACAAACTGTCTGAAGTTGTGCCCGATTTGCCCTCATTATTCGAGCATTAGAATGCATTTACGCTTGATAGTATAGTGTACAGAACAGTCATGTGAATCAAGTAGAAGATTATCTCAATATGATGGTTGTGATCGGATTGAGGTGCAAAGTTGAAATGACTTGATATTAAATGAAGTGGAAATGATAGTAATAATAATAATAATAATAATAATAATAATAATAATAATAATAATAATAGGACAAATCATTCTGTTTTCAGTAGGTTCTCAGTTGATATCAGTCCTCAATGATGACATTCATCATCATGAACAAGCCTATCGACTAATTGGACGATAATCTCGTGCTCACTGATCACTGGTTGACAGATGAGTTTTCAGGAGTTGTAGTGGTAATCTGTGAGACCGATTAAGTGTTGAGTGAAACGACTCAGACCTATGCAACTGGACGATAGCTGAACCATATCGTGAGTTCTTTGAATTCAGAAGTGTTGACACTGAATACTAAATCAGTGACTGACTGAATGATATTATACTCATCTCAATGTGTGATCGTGGTAGATTAGATCCAGTGTGGTGTTGTGTATGTCCACCATCAATGCATCTTAAAATATGATGAAACAAATGTTTCACACCCCTTCTTACGAAATCCTTCTCCAGATGATCGATCTTAAAACATGATGAAAGCTGTTCTAAAATTGAATATATCTCCACAAACTACTGAACGCGATCATAACAATAGTAGTAATAATAATGATGATAATTATAACAGGCGATAATAGAACGGCTTATGTTCATTTAACTGAAATAGAAATCTATGATATTTGATTTTAAGCATATAACATGGACGTGTTTCTTTCTATGTCAATCTGTAGAGGTTTTGAAATGTCAAAGATAAACACATTTCTTCTTTGGCCAATTCATATTATTAGCATTACGTTTGCAGGTGTGAGTAAACTTTCGTTGTTTTAATTTCAACTTACAACTCCAAGTACATAGTGGGTAATGCTGAGTTTATTTACTACTTAGTTTTCCCTGTTTAAGTGAATAAAACGACCTCGGAAATATCATCATGATAACAACCATGTAGTCACTCTGATATACTTTGTACTTTTATCCGGTTATTTCTACTGTTTGTTCAACATTGATATAAGTTCAACTCCAGTAACTGCAACATTTAATGAGTTCAATGCACAAAACAAGTAACGCACTGAACAATTTCACACAACCAACTTGATGCTTATAGTTTACCAGTGCGAAAGCTCAAACTCATCTATTTATGGGATAGATCACGAAAATACACACCGATAAGAAGTAAATGCGTTCTGTACATATAATTTTGTACATTCTCTCGTTAGTTTTATACCATTGATAAAAGCGCAAAATGAAGTCGAAGAGGATTTGGAGGTGCAATGATATTCGGAAATTTCCGATTCAAAGGTAATCTCGATTGAGAAGAGACAACACTTGACGAACGATTGAAAATCGAGAAATAAGAGATTGTTGTTTATTGCTAGCTTGAAACAAACAGAAATTGGGTACTGTTGACATTGGAAACAATCCAATTTAAAATATTTATATCTCGTAATGAGTACAATGGTGTTTAGACTCTGAAACAGTATCCAATGGTTCTCGATTTCAGATTCATTGTTTTAGTATAATGTTTATTCAACATCATTGATTATTTTGTTAATGTCTGACCTGAAACTTGGTTGACTCGATCGGTCACAACCTACGATTCAGTGGACTGAAGATACTGTGCTTACTACGAGATACGGAGATCGTTGCTTCGATCAATCATGCAGATGTCGATCTTCGATAATGGGAAGTTCTGATATACATCGAAGTAGAAGTCCAGTGTTATCTGGATTTACAATGACCTCCCAGATAGCGCTACCTCTCGTTGAAAAATATTTCCAAAATTCTAAAAGAACTAGTAAATCTATATTTTGACTTGGAATATTCGAATCACTACTTAGCAATTTATGTAATATACAGGTAAGTATGTACGTTTTAACCGTCTCCGTGTCTGCTTGAGACTGAATAAATAGATTAGGTTTATGTGAAATTCGATTATATTTGGCTACTGGACACAAAAAGGTATTCAAATATAACAGGCAAAATTACTGAGTTGATATTCGGTTTAAAATTAGATAGGGCTCGTTCAGAGCAAAACGTGAGGAAAGAAAATAGTAATCATCAACTACACGAGCGATTTAATCACGTAAATAACCATCAAATCACAAGCACAAAACCACTTCATCATCATCATCATCATCATCATCATCATCATCATCATCATCATCATCATCATCATCATCATCATCATCATCATCATCATCATCATCATCATCATCATCATCATCATCATCATCATCATCATCATCATCATCATCATCATCATCATCATCATCATCATCATCATCATCATCATCATCATCATCATCATCATCATCATCATCATCATCATCATCATCATCATCATCATCATCATCATCATCATCATCATCATCATCATCATCATCATCATCATCATCATCATCATCATCATCATCATCATCATCATCATCATCATCATCATCATCATCATCATCATCATCATCATCATCATCATCATCATCATCATCATCATCATCATCATCATCATCATCATCATCATCATCATCATCATCATCATCATCATCATCATCATCATCATCATCATCATCATCATCATCATCATCATCATCATCATCATCATCATCATCATCATCATCATCATCATCGTCATCATCATCATCATCATCATCATCATCATCATCATCATCATCATCATCATCATCATCATCATCATCATCGTCATCATCATCATCATCATCATCATCATCATCATCATCATCATCATCATCATCATCATCATCATCATCATCATCATCATCATCATCATCATCATCATCATCATCATCATCATCATCATCATCATCATCATCATCATCATCATCATCATCATCATCATCATCATCATCATCATCATCATCATCATCATCATCATCATCATCATCATC